AGCTCAGCATCATAAAGACTTGAGATTTTAGAATAAATTTTCAGATCATCAGCATAAGCTAAAATACTGCAATTTAAAGATTCCAGAAGGTCATTGATAAATAGACTGAAGAGGAGAGGCCCAAGGTTAGAGCCTTGTGGGACTCCAGACTTTGACAAAAAAACGAAAAGAGCTAAAACCATTGTAAAATACATAGTTGTTACGGTTTATTAAGTAAGACTCCATCAGTTTGAGAAGGGCATAGTTAAATCCAAAGTTATTAAGTTTGCCTAATAGAATGTCGTGAGGAAGAACATCAAAAGCTCGGGAAAAGTCAGTATATATTACGTCTATTTGTTCTCGTTTGCCAAGTGCAACACTTAGATCTTGAACAAGCACTGCAAGGTTTGTAGATGTAGATCTGCCAGTTCTGAATCCATGCTGTCCTAAACTGATATGCGAACGAGTATTATTGTAAATGCAACTATATAATGCCTGTTCAAAAACTTTTGCAAAATTGCTTAGAATGGAAATAGGACGATAGTTCGCTAGTAAAGATGGATCACCCTTTTTAAAAATAGGACTGATTCTTGCAATTTTCCAAAGGTCCGGGAATGTACTTGTTTTAAGTGCCTTGTTAATTATGATGGACAAAGGTTGGGCAAGTGCATATCTACAGTCACGTATCAAAAAACTAGGGACTAAGTCATCACCACATGTTTGTTTGTTGGATAAATTTGACATGATCAGAATTAAATCCTCTATGCTGACGGAAGACATTGAGAAAGAATTTGAAGAAATAGAAGTAGACTCTATGTGCGTAGAGTTGTTAACAGTAAATACATTGGCAAAGGTAGTAGCAAATGCATCCACAATATCCTGAGGTTCCGAAAATATATTTCCATTATTGTCTCTTAACTGACCCGGTATTCTAGAAGTGCCATTTTTCAAATGTAGAAAGCTCCATAAAGATGAAGGATCAGATTTGATATTGCTCTGGACATGATTTAGATACAGTTGGTAGGCATTATCCATTTGTTTTTTAACAATAGCTCTTAATTGTTTGAATTCGATATAGAATTTAGAATCCTTAAATTTAATCCATTTACGCCTGTAACAGTCTTTTGTTTTTATATTCTGCTTAATCTCAGAAGTAATCCAAGGTGGAAATTTCGAAGAGCTAGAAGTTATACGTGGAACAGATGTATCAAATAACTTATAAAGACAAGAATAAAAACTCTCAAGAGCAATATTTACATTTTCCTGACTTTCTAAAAAAGACCAATCCGCGTTGTTGATGTCATGATATAATTTTAAAAAGTTGGCCTTGCGAAAGTTATAGCGAAGTTTCTTTGCTAACGGAAACTTAGAAGTGATACTAGGTATAGCAAAATTAAAGTTTAGATGGAGAGCGGGGTGATGCTTATCTTCAGATATTAAAGGTGGTGTGCAGTGGGAAACTAGGGCTGTAGTATTTGGATTGGAAAAAATTAGGTCCAGCAATCTGTTATTAATATTAAGGATCGAATTAAATTGTGATAGTTGAACAACGCTGCAGAATTGCTTGAGAATTAAACTTTTATGGCAGTTACTATGGCTATTACTTGAAAAACTAGGAACGTTAAAATCTCCAACGATTATCAAATGTTCATGCATTACCATGACTTCTAAGGCATTAAAAAATAACTCAAAATCATGAACAGAAATATCGGGTGGAACATATAAAACAACAAATAAGAAAATCATATTTTCGTAAGAGCATTTACAAATGATTACGTCAATGAGCGGTACCAAATCAGTAAGATGTTTGGTATTTATTACCGTATATTTAAATTTATTTGAGAATGCAACTAATACTCCACCTCCTCTAGAGGGACGAACCAATGAAAATTTTCTATCACAACGAATGACACTATAATAAGAAGGAAATATTTCAGAAGTGAGAATGGAATCATGTAACCAAGTTTCACTAATTGCGATAATGTCAAAAGACAGATCGCAACAACTGACGTAAAAAGAATGAGATTTGGAAGCAAGTCCCCGAACATTTTGGTAATACAGACTTAGTGTTGAATACCTGCTGGACTGATCTAGTTTTCCGACAAGTTTGCAATAGTAGTAGGTATGCCATTACGATATTGAATTTTCAGATTTTTTTCACCCTGAGCCAAACGATTGTCAAGTGCTGCCCTTACCGATTTATATGCATTAATTTGCATGGGAGTACGATCCATTGAGATGTTAATGTGGGACCATTTATCCATAGATTTTAAAGTTTTAAAGTTTTTGATCATACTTGAAACATCTTCAGGACTGGACAACGTAACTTTAATAGGACGCGCTCTGTTGACATTTGTTGCATCAAATTTACCAAGACGAACCGGTGGAACAGTTGGCAAGTTAAGTTTTGATTCAGATATAAAATCATTGACAAGAGAACAATCAGCAACATTTTGTTCTTGTTTTGAGATACCGTTAGATTCTTTAACGTTGAAGATAATTATGTTGCATTCACGTTTTTTGCGTTCGGTTATTTCGTTGATAACTTTTTCAGTTTCAATAAACGATGAATCACTGGATGCAATGGTGGTAGTAGCTTTGATAGTATTTTTTAATTGCTGAATTTCGTCCTGTAACATATTTATCATGGAAATTAATTTAGGAATTTGGTGTACACCTTGCTCACATTCTAAACATATGTATTTTAGGCGTCGCGAGGAAGTGGACCTCAAGGCTAAGCATTTTAGATCCTGCTGAGAAAGTTCAGAACAGGCTGTATGGACTGGTTTAGTACATCCATCACATGAGGTGACAAAGTTTATATGAAAAAAAACATTTGTATGGCGATGTTTAGTTGAAATGTTGTTAACATTTGTTACTTGAAAATTGGTAATCATGTAAAATTGTTTGTCTTGACTGACTGATTTTAATTCTTTTTTGAAATTCATCCCCAACGGAATATAATTTGGGTGGAAATGTGAGAAACAGGACAATTAATCCAAAAGTGGTTAAAAATCAAAGTTTAAAATAGTTAAATATGTTTTTCGCATATTAGACGTGGTAGGATTATTTGAAAAATCAGTCCTAAGCGTTTGAAATTTAAGAAGTTGTATGGAAATAGGGAGGGCGCGACGTCACCGAGTAAGCGACTGCGACGCGAACGGGGTCTGCGGTCGGACGCATGAGACCAAACGGCGTTGACGGTTTGTGTTTTATGTCACGAATTATCAGAATATTTCTCACTTAAGTATTCTAATTTTGTGTTCCCGTGTATGAAAGGATGTAGCTGTAGCAAAAAATATCCTCGAATTCTCCTGAAAGAAACCCAAACAGGCAAAGACAGCTACCCTCAATACCGGCGAAGAGGTTCCGCGGATGGTGGATTCACGGTTGAATTCCATGTTGTAACCCTAGATAACAGATGGGTGGTACCGTACAATCCACTTTTATCTTGAACGTTTGCTGCTCACATCAACATAGAGTATTGTACGAATAACTCTGTAAAATCTATTAAATGTATACGCAAATATGTTCATAAAGGATCCAACCAGGATTATTTGGTCTTGAAAATGACAATGATGAGGTGAAATTATATGAAAGTGGTCGATATATTAGCAGCTTTGAAACTGTCTGGAGAATCCTGACCCTTTCCTATACATGAACAATTTCCAGCGGTTTTTCATTTCACAGTGCACTTGAAAAATCGCCTGCTGTCTATTTTAAATGTTACTGAAAAATGTACGCACCAATGAGAATTATTATTAATCCTAACGACTTTAATAATGTAACTGAAAAGGTAAATAATTAACAGAAAACTAATTTTCTAGCATTTTTTGAGCTTTGCAAAACGAATAATTTTGCAAAAATCCTTTTTTATGTTGAAGTCCCTTCATACTATGTGTGGAAAAGTACCAAATTTGAGAGACAAAAACGTGGAAAAAATGTTGATGGTTGGCCGGGAGTCAAAAGAGATCAAACTTTGGGCAAAGTGTACACCGTTCACCCTAATAACGCCGAATGTTTCTACCTTGGTCTTCTTCTTCGAGAAATGAGAGGGCCAAAATCATTCTTGGATTTAAAAACTATTGATGGTGTCGCTGATCCCACATACCAGTCATCATGCAAAGCTTTGGATTTGTCAAGTTCAGTCAGAGCGTCAAGAACTCTCTTGACACTCTGACTGAACTTGACAAATCCAAAGCTTCATTTATAATATGAACACTCGTTCATATTATAAATGAAGCGTACAATAAGTGTGTGATTTCCTTTAAAGACACGGTGCTGTCTTTAGGAAGACAATGTTTAGAGTATTATGGTTCGCCTCATCGTGTCGTAAAACGTGAAGAAGTCATACAAAACAGAGACTATCTCAGAGTGATTCGCTATGACATACTTTTATAGGCACAACGAAAGTTTATTAAATACAGAACAATATCAAATTTACAACCAAGTTTTAGATAGGTCAGGTAAATGTCTGTTTTTACATGGCTGCCTACAATATTAGCGACAAAACTATCCAAATATTTTAACTTTTTTAAAGAAATATCCTTTAATTTACTCCAAACTTTCAGTCCTTATTTCACCCACTTAGGGGTAATTGATGCTTACATTACGAAAGGAACCTTATTCTGTCCAAATTTCGTGTTTCTAGCTCCAGTAGTTATGTTGATGAATCAGTCAGCCGAAGGACAAATACTTTTATATATTGTTATTAATGAAGACTTGCACAAACTTAAAAAGTAATAAAATTGAAATCAAAAAATAAATCAGCGGATCAAAAATAATGTATCCTAATTGCGAAAACCACGCAAGCGGAGCTGCGGGTAACAGCTAGTATATTCATAAAATCAATTTCTATAATTTTCCCATAAATTTGATTCTTCACAAGCGAGGGAAGTTCCATCTAAATACCGTTAAATCAACAATATTGTTAATAAAAACATGTTTTTTACTAACAATGTTATTCATCTTTTATATATCAATTTTTTGCGTATTAATTATATTTTTAAGCAAGCATTTACCTTTCCAGTTATCATCCAAAACAGACTCGTATGTTAATTTGTATCCTTGCAGAAGTCCGTTGCAGTCTTCAAGAGGGGGTGGCTGCCAACTGATTTGTAGAGATTGAGATGTTAAAGATGCACATCTTACATCTTCAGGAGCCGTCGTAGGCACTGTAATAAATGAAAATAAAAGAACAAATCATTGGCTTATTAAAAACAAATAAATTTGAAATATTCTGCCAAACCTAACATGGGCCTTTGCAAATTGAAGGGGTCATGTTAATACGTTTTCTACTTATCATAAGCAAATATTGTTAGAAATACTGACAAAAATCCACATGCGCTTTTATGTTACAAATAGAATAATTTAAACTAATAACACCTAATATCAAAAGTCATTGGCAGAAGGCCTACGGCATCACCGTTATTATAGTTTAAGAGCTAGCGATAGATTTACTTTATATACTTCAGTACTCGTGCAAATCAGTAGATGAAATATTGTACACCTTCTATTGAATAAGCGATGCCCACTCTGACAATTAGCCAATAACACGTGACGTCACGCTGTGGCGGGAACTCAGCGTTTGACAAGCGCCGTGAAACTCCATAAGTGGCAATGTTAACATTTTCGCATTTCATTTAAAAGTGTAGGTATTTATCTAGACAATAAACACATGAATAGCTTCTTTCATATCTTTTCTGTGTATCAGGGTGCTTTTTTTGGCGATTTGAGTTTAAAAATACATAATAAAAATAAAAATACAGAACGCTGTTTTGGTCTGAATTCCTCGTCACCCAAAATACATCCGTGTGTTTTAAGCGGTAAATCGGAAATTAATATTTTCGTTTGAGGTTAATGTGACGGGTTTAAGTGAAGGTGTGTGATTTGTTTTTAAAGTATGGATAATTTAAGTGATTATGCGACGTCTTTCTTTCAAAGAGAAAAACAGATATGTACAAAAGTTAAACAATTTAAACGGCGGAGATCCTTTTACAATGAGTGCAAGTGATTTTAATTTGTGTTTAGACCATGTCCCTACCATAACAATGAATACCATTCTAAACTTTTTTATTTTTGGAATAAGTAAAATAACCCACAATGAAATTCGTGCATTCAAAAGTCTAGAGGCATTTATTCAGTTTTCTCTTTTTTAAACAACTGTGTCTTTCAAAATTACAAGTATTATGAGTGGATTTATTTTGATATCCTAAATTTTGTGATGGAACATAATCAGGATGGTCCACATCCGACAAATCTGCAGGTTTACCTAAAAGAGCACCAATGTAGTAATTTATTAGAAACTGTAAATCTAATAGGTAGTTACTGTACCTAAAATAAAATGATCCGAACAATACTTTACTTTGGCTTCGTTAAATCCACTCGTTTCAAGGCTTTTAACCAAAGCTTCCGCTTTTTTTTCCCATCCTGTATATATTTACCTTTATTGTTGCTAATTGCTGGGAAAGGAAAATAAAATTTGTCCGCATTTCTGGTGCTTCGATTCGCGCAACCCACAACAGCACAAAATTTAGGCATTTTCTCCTAAAATACAAAATATTATAATATTAAGATACTAGTGTATTTAAAAAACATTGATGTACATTAACAAAGAATTAATTTGCAAAACAAATGATATAAGATGCAGCGAAGTTAACCTGTACATCACATTGGAAAACATTATTTTTTAAGCCTATTCAAACGTTATGGTGCGTTTTACAGATATCTACACAGTGTAGAAACTGTAACAAACTTACCAAACCATAAAAACACAGTTGTCACACTCTCAAATTTAAATGAATTCCGAAAATATTAGCATTGACTCTTATGAGAAAACCGGCTAGTTGTCAAACGCTGCCATCTTGGTGACCTCGGATGACGTCAGTGTATTTGGCTAATTGATAGCAGGTGGAATAAGTAACCCCTAACCCCTCATTTCTAAAAGAGTTGGAAAAATGTTTAACATTTATATAAACTAACAAGTCTATTATTTAAAAATGAGTATTTGTTGTGAAGAAAAAATATTGCCAGAACATTTCCACGCCTTCAAATTGTTGACCTAATAACAAAAGTTGTACCTACGAGTATACGACAACAGCCATGAAATGCCCTCAGGTAAATGTTAAGTTAAATGGCAAAGTAATCAATTTCTTTGTGGATACTGGTTCATCTGTTAATCTGATAAGCTCAAGCACATTCAAAGAATTTCATCAACAGTCGCTACAACCAGATTCCTCATCGATCCTCCCGTACAACAGTTAGAAGTAGTTGGAAAATTCAAAGGTCTGTTCCATTATAACAACCACCAAACGCGAGCAGATGTATTTGTGATAAAAGTCAACAGTGAATCATTATTGAGCTATGATACAGCAAACTAATTGCATCTGATACAACTATCTATGATGATATATCAACTTAAGGACACGAATTTGATCAAAAACAAGCATCCTAATTTGTGTAGTGGCATAGGTTGTCTCAAGAACCAAACTGTCACGCTACACATTGATGAGTCAATTCCTCCAGTAGCAAATAAACACAGGAGAATTCCAATAAATCTTCGTGGAGCAGTTGAAGAAGAGATAACAAGACTGATGAAACAAAACATCATTGAAAAAACAACAGGATCAACTCCCTAGGTTTCACCAATAGTTGTAGTTCCCAAACATCACGATCCTAGCTCTATCAGAATTTGTGTAGACATGAGAGAGGCTAACAAAGCCATACTTAGAGAAAGGCATCCAACACTAACTATTGAAGAAATATTTGCCCAGTTAAATGGCGCAACAGACTTCTCAAAGATTGATTTGAAAGATGGCTACCACCAACTAACATTAGAAGAATCTTCACGGTACATAACAGTTTTCTCAACACATATTGGTTTGTATCAATATAAACGACTGAGTTTTGGGATAAATTCCGCTGCAGAGATTTTTCAAAACACAATAAGACAACTGTTAAACCAAATAGATGGTGTGTTAAACATCAGCGATGATATACTAATCTTTGGAACAACTCAACAAGACCATGATAAGACTCTCAAGCAAGTAATAGAACGTTTGGATAACCATAATTTGACAATCAACACAATGAAATGCATTTTTAACACGAACAAAATAGATTTCTTTGGATATGTATTCTCGAGCAAAGGCATTTACCCTGATCCAGACAAAGTCAAGTCTGTCTCTAACCTAGAACCGCCCAGAAACGTGCATGAACTAAGAAGCTTCCTAGGAACGTTGAATTATGTTGGAAAGTTCCTGCCCCACTTAGCAACAAGTACTGCAATATTACGTGAGCTGATTACAAAAGATGCTCAATGGGACTGGACTGAAAAGCATCACAACGCTTTTAATGATCTTAAAAAACAACTAGAATCAGCACAAAACCTCGCCTACTTTGACCAACAGAAAAAAGACGCACCTCTATGTAGACGCTGGTCTCATAGGACTTGGAGTGATCCTCTCCCAAGAAGTTAACAACAAAACAGAAGTTATTTCGTACGCTAGCAGAACATTAACTTTGACTGAACAGAAATACAGTCAAATAGAGAAAGAAACATTAGCAGCAACATGGGCCATACATCACTTCAGAATATACCTGTTAGGAGGTCACTTTGTGTTACACACAGACCACAAACCCTTGGTCTCAATCCTACAGAACCCTCGATCAGCTCCAAACGCATGCATTGAACGACTTTGTTTTAAACTTCAGCCTTATAAATTTACAGTTCAATACCAAACAGGCATAACAAATTCGTCTGATTATTTATCTCGTCATCCAACACACAGCCCACCAGAAGCATATGATAAAAGTGAAGAGTACGTAGCTTTTGTAACCACTCATTCAATACCAAACACAATTTCACTTGAAGAAATCGAAAATGCAATGAAAGATCATTTTCAGTTGCAGCTACTGAAAAAGGCCTTGTTAGAAGATGATTCCTTGTTTTGGAAGAAACGAGAACTGCAAACATTCAAGCAAATGAAACAAGAGCTCACTGTATATGGTAATATTATTCTCAAAGGCAGTCAAATCATAATTCCCAGCAAACTGCAGAAAAACATTATCAGATTGGCACATAAAGGTCATCAAGGTCTCGTTAAAACCAAACAACTGGTAAGAACTAGAGATGAGCGATATTTCACTACCGGTGATTATTTCACCGTGATCTGTTTGTCACTGTTGGTAACCGTGACTGGTATCGGCAAGTAACGGCGACCGTGATTTTCCTTTTTAAAATTGATTCCGGTAATACGAAACAGTGAATGGTGAATTTTGCTTTTATTTTCTTTTCATACAGTTTGCTATAAAATCTGAGGCGACATCTAGTTATTTCGAGGTGGTTTTTCTTTAATTAATTATGCATTTTATGCATAATGTTTTTATGTGCCAATGAATTTACATTTACTATATGATTTGTTGTTATTTATTTGTTCCCAACAATTACTATTTATTCATTCATCGATATATCGGAATTTTCTGCTGTTCACATGGCACACCGTTTCACCGTTCTTCCGCGAAAGAATATTGAAACTGTTCCTTAGATCACCGTTCCTGCGATCACCGTTCCTCCGCGAGAGAATATTGAAACCGTTCCTGTGATCACCGTCCAAGTCACGGTGACAAGAAAGAACCGTGAAAAGTCGCGGTTCACGCCGGCGCCGTGATCCTAGTATTAAATCGCTACTTTCGTCGCTCGCCGTTCCTTGATCACCATGACAAAATCACCGTTTAAAATCACCGTGATTCAAAAGGAACGGTCGTCGTGATCACCGTGATCGCAAAATCACGGTATCGCTCATCTCTAGTAAGAACTAAGGTATGGTTTCCCAACATCAACAAAATGGTAGAAGAAGTAGTGAAGTCATGCACACCGTGTCAAGCAGTAACACCCTACAACCAGCGAAATCCGATTCAAACATACCCGACATCCACCTACCCGCTTGAATGTCTAGATGTAGATTACGCCGGACCATTTCCAGATGGAAAATACTATTTCACAATGGTGGATGATTTTTCAAAGTTCCCATTCGTCAAAAAAGTACCATCAACCAATTTCAAACAGCTGAAGCCCGTACTTGACGAAACATTTGCACTCTTTGGCCTACCAAAAGAACTTAAATCCGATAATGGATCATCCTTGAATCGATACGAGTTGAAAGAATACCTTTCA